TATTTTTAGTTGTGGGTCCTTCTAGTTGTGGCATGTGGGACGCCACTTCAGTATGGCTTGATGAGCGGTGCCATGTCTGCACCCAGGATGCGAACCGGCGAAACCCTGGGCTGCCAAAGCAGAGCACCCGAACTTAACCATTCAGCCACCAAGCCTACCCCAAATGCAAGCCTTTTTAATAAAAATTAAGTATAGCTTGTCAAATGCTCAAAACCATTGAAAACGTATTATTTATAATGATTTTCTTGCAAATGAAAGCTTAAAATCTTACCAAAAAAAACTTGGAAACATAGTAAGCCAAACTTGTTGATAAGATGCTCAGATATTTTCATAGAGAGAAAAATGACATAAATTTGTTAACACTATTTCACATTGGTTAATGAGAAAGTGTTACTGTCATAAATAGTTGCATATGTGTGGCAAAAGAAAATTACTTACATAGTTGCTGAAAAAATTATTCTCAGCATACATGGTCATGGTGAATATAATTCTTGAAGAGAAATCAGCTGATAAATTTAAAATTATACTTCTAAGTGATAACACATTCCCTTAACAGATGTGTAGCTCTACAGAACATACAGAATACAATTAATCCTTATTGGCAGATGTGAGCAGACTCAGATTTTGTGATTCTACATAACAAGAAATTAATATTTCAAGTTATTATGTTTTCAGTTTATGCCAAATATATATGACAAGACAATTTTTATAAAGTATTCATTGTGTTTAAGTTTAACCTAACACAACTGGTTTAAGTAACCTGATAGAATTGGAAAAATACATTATTTGGAAAACATAAACTGGGAAATTGTAATAGAATTGCAAGTGATTCAGAGGTAAATATGACCAGGAAACATAGCAGAGTAATTTAAAATATTATTAGAAATTACCGTCTACGTTATTATTTGGAATCACCGTTGCATATATTGTAAAGATTTGGCATCCTAAGAATTCTACTGACTCTTGAAAACAAAAGTGGTCATAGTTGTTGCATTTCATTGAGAACTTTTACTTTCTGATATGTTTTGTTCAGAAATTGGAGTTGTGGCCACCTCCCAAAGCCTCTTCCCTCTGCTAGTGGAAGAGAGCTGTGGCAGGGCCCTGTGGCACCAGATAGACTATGATGTAGCCGGTGTGTCTCTGCAACTGTCTTCACCAATGGAGTAGAGGAGAAGGGATCTGTGTGACGGCTGCATCTGGGGCCCAGGCTCATCTGTTCTCCCTTCTTCTTCCTACGAGCTAAACACAGCCTGCCGAGGACCCATCTTTGGTCACACAGATGAGAACAACTCCCTCCGGGATGGTGGAGCATAAGATGCAAGGTACATGGTCCTTGAATTATCTCCTGGAACTGCCGTATCGACCTACACCACTGACACAGGACGTAATTTAAGTGAGAAATAAAAGTGTGTCCTGTGAACCGCAGTATTGTTGGGTCTTCGTGAAAGTAGCTTCGCCTTTCTATTAACTGATATATGTACACGTTATATCATACTGGAGTTATTGACCGTCATGAGGGAAATACTAATTAAGTTATATGAACTCAAGATGGGATTGACATTTTTCTGTTTAAAAGCAATCTCATTTGGCTAACATGTTTGGAGATGATATTTCAGCAACAAAATTGGCACAAAAACTCACATTTTTTGACTTTTTAATTAGCTGAATTTGGATCTACAGAGAAAAAGTAACATTATATTTCAAGATGTTAAATATATCCAACAGTTACAAAATACATTTTTAAGCATTTTAAGTAACCGCCATGGTTACTATGTGTCCTCAATGCTTTGCAACACAGGAAGAGAACATTATTAATGAAGACACTTGGAATGGAATAAAATTAAAGATATTAACAATATCTCAAGTCTCCGTTTCAAACTTCAAACATTTCCAAAAAACAAATTTAAAATATCAAGGACAAGTATTTGGATAAACGATCCATTTGGTTTTCAAAATCCTGAATCCATATTTGAGTTAAAGTTGATGCCCAAAGAAGAAAACTGACTACTAACACTTGATGCAAATACATTGAGTAATGATTATAAGTTTATCACCATTTTAGATTAAGAATTTGCTGAAATTTGCAATTTCAGTTGCTAAGTAGAGTATATTATTATTAATATCATCCACAGCAACTTCTTTGTGTGAACCAGAATTTTTAACCAACGTGACTAAGAACAGTAGGAAGGGACATCCAACCACAAAGCACCTGGGGTGTGCATGCAGCACTGTCCCTGTGTCTCCAGCCTGGAACGAATTTAAGAACAGGCAAGCATGCCTGCAACAACTGAAAAAATCGTATTTAGTAATAACTATTATATTTAACAGTAAGTATTGTTTTATAAACAAAACGTTTGTTTCAGTTTTTTAATCTATGTATACATGTATCTATGTTTATACTGGCTGACAATGCAAAGGGTATTTCCTACTGTGAGTTGATATTTGAAAAAAGGGTGTTTTCACTACTCTATTCACTTTCCTTCACAGCCAGCATCTCGAGGGGGTTGTCCATACCTGTGTTTCTACCTCCTCTTACTCCACTGAAACTGGGCTCTGCCCTCATTGTTATTCTAGGGCAGCCTTCCTATCCAAGCTCTCACATTCATCTGATCCTTTTCTGTGTTTATCTTTGTCCTCTCTGTGGCCATTGACCTTGTTGCCTGGATATAACTTTCATCTTCCCACCACCTTAAAAACACAACACTTTGTGATTATAAAAGTAAAAGTGTTTAACAAAAAAGTAAACTCACCTGTAACACCATCAGAGATAATCACTGTTAACATTTTGTTTATTTTCCAGTTAGATATATGTTTGTATTTTTAAACTTTATGTACATCCACAGCAAATATTTAAATAATAAAATTGGGATAATTTAGTGCACAGAAGTACATAGCATTTTACAATGTTCTTGTTTCATTTAACCGTATAGTAGAAACCACTTTGATGTCATTCAATATTCCTCTCCCACATTATTCTTAAAGGCCATATCATATACTGCTTTATGGATGCATACATCATGGATTATTTATCCATTTCTCTATTGTTGGACATTTTGATAGTTTTCAATTTTTTTAAATAATTGACTGACACATTGAAATCCTTGTAGAAAAATCTTTATTCACTTCCATAATCACTTGCTTAGGATGAATTCCTAGAAGTGGGGTGCTGGGTCAGAGCCATATCTATGCTGTACGCACATCCAGAATCCCTCTAGGAATATGGTACCGAGTTGCCCTTCCACCAGCGCCTGTCGCATGAGAGCACCCACCTGGCCAGCTCCTTGCTAACACGAGGCAATAGCATTTAAAATCTCTTAGCCAATTTGATTGATTAAAAAATCGCATTTTATTTAAAAGTTTGTGCTCTTTTGATTAGTAGGTGCTCGAACATTTTTCATAGGTTATAAGTCACCTGTATTTCTTTCTCTGGGAACTGACTTCATGTTCATGGCCTGTTTTTTTTAGAGTGTGCATCTGTTTTTTAATGCTTTATAAAAGCTTTTTTACAAAGCTATTCAAACTTTCTTTCAACTGATTTTTCTAGTTTGTAGTTTATGTAAACTTGTTTTTAATTATAAAGATAATATTCTTAAAAAGAGTAAAAAACATAAATGCATATAAAATTAAAAGATGAGTTACTCTCTTTCCTCCTTCAATTCACCCCTCAGTGTCATTTGCTTTTTAATTTTGTATGGAACTTTTTCTGTGTGTGAGGAAGATTGGCCCTCTGCTAACATCTATATCAGTCTTCCTCTATTTTGTATGTGTGTCACCTCCACAGCATGGCTTGACAGTGTTGAATGTCTATGCCCAGGATCCAAACCTGGGAACCCCGGGGCCACCCAAACCCCTCGACCAACTTGACCACTACCCCGCCAGGCAGCCCATTGTACGGAACTCCCCCCTCTAGTTGTATACTTTTAGTTGTGAGTTCTTCTAGTTGTGGCATGTGGGACGCCGCCTCAGCGTGGCCTGATGAGCGGTGCCAGTCCGTGCCCAGGATTCGAACCGACGAAACACTGGGCCACCGAAGTGGAGCGTGTGAACTAAACCACTCGGCCAGGGGAACGGCCCCTGTAGGGAACTTTTGACATAAAGGTTCTACATATTGAAATCGTCAAATCGCTTTACTTTTCCTTGTTTTCAGTTTCTGCCTTAGCTGGTTTGTTATAAATAATCTTAATGCATTAAGTACATTCACTTAAATTTTCTTCTAAACTTTTCATGGTTCAACTGTTAAATTTTACTCTTAAACACATTTGTAATTTATTTTTGTATATGGTATAAAGTTGTGATCTCTCTCTATTTTCCAAACAGTTAACAATGTGGTCTGACATAATTACATAATCTACTACAAGGTTTTTGATTTTATCGTCAAGCACTGGAAACCTTTCTTCCGAGGATGGCTTCGCGGGTGTGAGGACGGTGAGCAGCAGGGTCCTCGGTGCCAGGAGCGCGCGGGGGTCGGTCCGGACACCCCGCCCGTCGGACTCCCGCCGGCTGCGCTCCTCGCGGTCCGAGCGCTCCCCGGCCCGTCGTTCCAGGGAAAGGGCCCGACCTCCCGCTCTGCCCCTTCCGTCCGCTGCCTCCCGAGCCCCCGCCGAGCCCGGGCGCCCACAGCTCTCCGCGCTGGCCGGCGTCAAATCCCCGTGTCTCCCTCGGCGCCGCGTCCCGCGCTCGGGCCCCACAGCGCGCACCCCGCGGGCCGCGTCAGGTCAGCCGAGCGCGTGCAGACCCGAGCTCGCGCTCCCGCTCCGCCCCCTCGCTTCTGCTCGTCCTCAACAGGAGGGCGGAGCCGCCATCCTCCCGTTTTCCCCGTCAGGGAACCTGGGAGCCGCGCCGCTCGCCACCACCAGAAGCGGTCAGCAAACCCGGGCTCCTCCGCCCTGAACGCCCCCGCGGCGGCTTCCTCCCTTCCCTTCACCTGCTGCGAGGCGGGGCGGGGGCGGGGCGGGGGCGGGGCCTCGGCGGGGCGGGGGCGGGGCCTCGGCGGCGGCGCGCGCGGCGCCGAGCGGGCGTGCTTCTCTGCGGCCGGAGCGGCGAGCGCAGCGTCCGTCTGGGCGCCGGGCCTGGCCTCGCGCTCCCCTCGCTGCCGGCGGCCGGGCCGCGAGCTCAAGATGGAAGAGATCCTGCGGAAGCTGCAGAAGGAGGCGTCCGGGAGCAGGTGCAGAGGCATCAGGGAGAGCTGCGCCTGGGCCCTGGGTAAGCGCGCGGGCCCCTGCGGCCGGCCGGCCGGGCCTCCCGCGGCTTCGCCGGAGCGTCGCTACCGCCGCGTTCCGCTAGCTGCCCCGGGGCCTGACGTGGGGGGCGTCGCGGCCCGGGCGTGGCCGTCACCGCCTCCCGGCGCCCCCCCTCTGTCCCCAGGTGGGCGGCTGCCAGCTCCATCAGACACGATAGGACACCCGTCAGACACGACGCCCATCAGACACGACCCCACCTCAGAGACGACCCCCCCCTCAGAGACGACCCCACTTCAAACAAGACGCCACCTCGGAGACGACCCCCTAGACACGACGCCCATCAGACACGACCCCACCTCAGAGACGACCCCCCCTCAGAGACGACCCCACTTCAGACACGACCCCACCTCGGAGGCGACCGCCCTAGACACGACGCCCATCAGACACGACCCCACCTCAGACACGATCCCACCTCGGAGACAACCCCCCTAGACACGACCCCCCTCAGAGACGACCCCACCTCGGAGACGACCCCCCCTCAGAGACGACACCCCTCTCAGAGACGACCCCCCGAGACACGACCCCCCTCAGACACGACGCCCCTCATGGACGACCTCCCCAGACACGACCCCATCTCAGACATGCCTCGCCCGCCGAGCACAGACCCCTCAGACATGACCCACCTGAGACACGACAGCCCCCCATACACACACGACCCCCCCCAACCCCGGACACGACGCCCCTCAGACACGAGAACCCCCCGACACAACCCCGCCTCGGACCCGACCCTCTTCAGACACAGCCCCCCACAGACACACCAGCAGCTGGCGGCAACGGGTCCGGGTGGGGGAGGTGGAAGCATCCGGGAGTCGGTGGTGGGTGAGCAGGAAGCAAGCGCTTGTTTTATTTGATTTCCTGGTGGAGGCCAGCTTGTTGAGTACTCGCTGTCATGGCTGTTGCCCAGGAAAAATAACAGGTTTTTTTTCCCTGGACAACGGGGACTGTGGGACTGTGTTGCCTCTGCCCCTCGGACACTGGGCTTAGATTTGTGAGCTGTGGGCGCGCTGACGTAGGTTCCCGGGAGCAGAGGTGTGTTTCCATCTGACAGCTGTGGGACTCAACGGGGAAGACCGCACGACATTCCAGTTAGGCCGGCATCCCGCTGGCAGCATGGCCCGGTGGGATGCAGAGGGCAGGAGCTTGCTCTGGGAAAGGAAGGCCGGGATCCCGCCGGCAGCATGGCCCGGTGGGATGCAGAGGGCAGGAGCTTGCTCTGGGAAAGGAAGGCCGGGATCCCGCCGGCAGCATGGCCCGGTGGGATGCAGAGGGCAGGAGCTTGCTCTGGGAAAGGAAGGCCGGGATCCCTCCGGCAGCATGGCCCGGTGGGATGCAGAGGGCAGGAGCTTGCTCTGGGAAAGGAAGGCCGGAAGCCGGCCGCGCTGTGAGCCCTGCATTGCCCAGGCCCGCATGGGCGTCCTCACTTGCCGCTCAGTTAAAAGACAAAATTGAATCTCTTTCTCCCTCAACCAAAAAGCAGTCAGTGCTCGTCGTGACGCTGTGCCGTGGGGCAGCCTGAGACGAGATGGAGAAGTGCCGCCAGCGGGAGAACTGATGGTGTTTTAGGTGGCTGTTAGCATCTAGGAGGTCTCAGTTCTCATGTTTGAGTGTGCGCGCAGTCATAGCAACATCCCTTTTGTATTTTACCTGTGCATGTCCTCACAATTGTCTGGCATATTGTCTGGGAAGTTTATCTTGTCGCCAGAACCAGGACTTGACCGTTTTAGTTTACTGTTGAAGAAGAACGGACCAGATAACCAGATAAATAAGTGAGCAGCTAGGCTCTTAAAGCCACGGTACTGTTTTTGCATGGCCATTGTCGTTCAGCAGAGAGACTCAGAGCTAGATTCCCCACCGCCTCTAATGAAGGGTCACAGATGGCGGTGGGCCCGAGTGTGCCCCAAACATGCCATTCCTTGTAGTCATCATTATTTTGCTGTCATTTAGGCAGATTTAGGTAATAGGGAGGAGAAGACTAATCTAGTATTTTTCATGTGTGAATTCTGATACTCAGCATCTTGTTAAATCCAGCTGCACCGTTTCTGAGTGTAGGTCCTTGAGGTTACCTGGGAAGCTCAGAGCTGAGGCAGGTGGGTTATCTGCGTGGAACCGGGAGTCCAGCCTGACTCAGAGTAGATGGGATTCCTCTCCCGGTGGTTGTTCTCTAGTTGCAAGAGGAGACACGAAATAGTTAAATAACAGTGCAGGGCATTCATTGTGCAGTTGGAATGAGTAAACCAGGAAAACAGACCAAAGAAGAGGGGATGAATGTGGCGTCAGGGAAAGGTGGGGGAAATTGGTGTGAGCTGGTGGGGCTTTTGAAGTAGATTTGACTTGAAGAATGGGTAAGCTGTGGGTTCCTTCTTTTCTTTGCTTATTTATTTAGCAGACATTTATTAAGACCTCCCCTGTACTGAGCAGTGGAGATATAAGGATGAGTAAAATACTTCCTCCCTGTAGGATTTTGTTAGAAGGGCGTGTTGGAGGGAGAATGCAGCGTAAACAAAGGCACAGAGACTTGGTTTCCTGTTCTCTTTCTCGCTTCAATCCATTTTCCACTATTGCCTCAATTTTTTTTTTTTTTTTACTATAAAACACTTTTCACTACTGAATCCCCATAATTTCTTTAAAGTTTGAATTCCTTAGAATGCTCTTCAGAATCTGGCCCTAGCCTTCTTTCCTATCACCCCTGAACCAAGGGCTCAACAATCTAGAGGCAATCAGCTGCAGCACTTTCTCGAACATGTTGCACACTGCACACTTCTCTGCCTTTGCTCATGTTAGTCCTTCTGCCAGGAATTCCCTTTCCAGACTCCTCAAGGCCCAACTCAGATAAGAAGCACCGCTGAGCCCCTCAGTTGAATCATTTGCTCTTTGGGTCTAAGCACTGCTCTCATGCCTCTCTCAGAGCACGTGCTGCTTTGGATGATGGTTGTGTGCACAGCTACTCTTCTGAGGGCAGGATAATTGAGAACTATGTTAGGTTCAAGAGACCAAAAAAACTAGTTCAAGCTGACCTAAGCAAAACAAAATTTCTTCACTCTATTAAGTAAATATCCCTTGGAAGGCTAGCTATGGGTTGAGTTTTGTTCAGGAATTCTGCACTGTTCAGGGACCTTGCTCTGCTCTCTTGGGCTGACTGACACACTCTGCATGAGTCTCCACAGCTTTGGGCTCATGAGTCACCACATCTAGACTATCTCATGAGAAAGAGGTGTCAGCACACTTAGACCATCTCAGGAGAGAAAGATCATCTCCTACTTGGACTGTTGTAGGAGAGAGGAGTCACTGTCACATTTAGACCATCATAGGAGAGAGGAGTCATCTCCCACAAAAGCTGTTGCAGGAGAGAGGGGTCTTCATGACATCAGACCATCTCAGAAGAATGAGACTCTTCCAGCCACTCCTGCCTAGTCCTTGGTTTCGCTTGTTCCTTTGTGACCTGATGGGTCATGTGTGTATACTTGAACCTGTTCTCCGGCGGAGGAGTGGGATGGGCTCCCTGGCTTAGGCCTAAGCTACAAGTCCACTGAAATCCCAGAGTCAGGGGAGGATGATCTCCTCTGAACACAATTTGGGCACTGGTTCAGAAGGTGGGGGAGGGGATGCCAGTCACTCAAAACAGCAATGCCACAGTGTAGACCTGAGCCCCTTGAGCACAGGCTGCAGCTCATGCTTCCTGTGGCTTCTGTGCCTGTAGTATGAGGCAGATGTTCAATAAGCAAATCAACACTTGAATGACTTGCTTGGATATTAAATGATATTGATCTTTTTTCTAGTTATAAAAGTTATATATGCTCATTTTAGAATATTGGAAAATATTAGAATAGCATAAAGAAAAAATTAAAATCACCTGTAATCTGACCACCCAGATATAGTACTATTCAAATTTTGGAGTATTGCCCTTCTGCAAAGGATCATACCATAAATGGCAGGTTGTCATTTGATTTTTAACTTTTGCATTTTCTTCTACTTTGTCATTTATACCTCTCTGAAAATCAGTTTTCTTAATGGCTGCATGATAACTGGCAAGGGATATGGATGTATCTTTCCTCTATATTGAGCCATCTAGGTTGTTGGATAGTTTTCTTGTCAGTGAGGGAAAGGGAATTCTTTCTGATGAGGGGGTAGAAAGAATAAGGGATGGTCAGCTTGTGGAGAACCAGAAAGAATGCATTTTCCTTCAGGAACTGGCAGTCCTGGATGGAGGCTTGTGGGCTGGAATGGCAGGATGGAGTGGAACGGCAGAACTTTACAACTAGAAGGGACCATGGCCTCATTTGGAAACTTAGATAAGGGGACTCACGTAGAATGGATTTGGAAAATGGAGGACAGGAGAAAGAAGATTAGAGGCTGGAATGCCAGGTGGAGAAGAAGGATAGTCTCTCCAACTTCCACCCTTCCCTCTATCTTCCCACAGCTTCTCCTTCCAGCTGCAATTGCTGTGACCTTCAAGCCCAACTTCCTAGAAACTTCTTAGAAAGTGTCTACTGATTGGGCCACTGACACACATCCTGAGTTGAATACAAACCCCTATGTCTGGTGAGGAAAACTGCTGTGATCTGGTTGTTCAGTGTCAGAACTGCCCCACGAGGAGAGGCAGCAAGTTGTCCTGGACACTGGCCCTGCCATGCTGAATGTTGGGCTGTCTTGACCCCTGTGGCCTGTGAGCTGCTCCCTGCACCTGCATCTCAGGGCTTCATTTTCTTGTTGTTCTATCCCATCTTAAGGACTGACCTCAGTCCTTCCACTTCTTCCCTTGGCCTTGTGGCCATGATACCACTGACCCTCCTGGTCCCGTCCTTCTGTTTTGTGGATTACCTTGCTTACACCCGCCATCTGCACCATGGGCCACACAGGCCCAGATCCTACCATCTTGTTTTGGTCTGTTCTTACTCCTAAGCCTCAGGGACACATCTGGGTCCGTTGTTCCCTCTGATCTCTGAGCAGGGTGGGGAGATTTTTCTCCTTCCCCAGTGAAAATGTTTCACATTGACAGGGCTTGTTAGCTCTAAGCAGTGAAGAGAAGCATCAACATGGTTCGAGATGAAAAATTGGAGACAAGTTGGAGCTATCAAAATAAAACTTTTTTTTTTTGGAAGAGAATAATGAGCTTTTTGTTATCTCTACAATTGGAGGCAGTAACAGTGTGAATAATCCACAGCAGTGGTAAAGTATTGATCATCCAGCTTGAAGTAATGAGATTTGAGCCTCCCAATCAGTCTCCCTAACTATAGTGTGATTGAAAAAAGCTTAATCTGCCATCTCATAAACATGTGCAAGAATCGTGAGATATCTCATAAAGTGCCTTGTGAACTTGAAAGTCTCTCACAAGTATGTTTTTGTTTAAGGGTATTGAAACTGTAGTTTCAAGGAAACAGCTTTCCTTTCTCTATTTTATTGCAAGAGTATAGAAATTTAGCCAGTTGTAACTAGATTAAATTGGCATTCTGATTCAGGTTAGGAATTTAACTATTCGTTCGGTGTCTCTATAGGGAAATGCGTCGTCATTTTTAACCTTCCCCGGGGAAGTCTCTGGGGCTGCCAAGGGAGAAGGATTTTTATGGATGATTTGCATGCAGAGAATTGAGAATTCACTAATGTATAATTATAGGAATTTCTGAGGAAAAAAGAAACTAGCAGTGAAATAATGTCTCAGTGCAGATTCTCATTCTTTTCATATTTATTTTTAAATTTGCTTTTTTCCTTTTGTAGAAACCCTGGGTGGTGTGGATACCGTTGTCAAGATCCCCCCACACTTGCTGAGGTAAGGAGACTGGAGTTGTTTAATATAGTGGAAGTGAAAATTGTCCTCCCTGTTTCCTGAAAGCCCAGATAACCTCGTTGGCTTATAGTGTTTTACTTGCTGAAGGAGGGCTTTTTTGCATCCATGAACTGGGATATTTCATGTGGTTAGCATGATGGGAACCTGATTTCCTCCTGTCTTTGGAGAGAGTGAAGTCAGTGATCCAAAGGAACGAGCTGTAGGAGTCAGGGGTGAAAGGATAAAATTGGTCCAGGAGAGAAATGACCATGAGGTAAGTGAGCATGTGGACAGTGAACAAGATCTTCCACTGCGGATTTGGAAATGGCACCCGCTGTGGGGGCATGCAGCTCTATACCATGTGAGCTGAGTGTAAGCTCTCACTGGCCCCCTTGGTGGGACACTATCTCACAACTCGGCAGCCACAGGCAGCAGCCCTCCTGTTTCCCCACCTTCCTCACCTCCTCCATCCTTCTGTTCCCCCTCATCGGGAGAGAAATACATGCCCTTTTTGGAAAATTTGGAAAGAACAAATGAGGAAGTAGTCCATAATTACACCACCTAAGGATAACCACTGAAAACAGTTCAATAGATTTTCTTAACACAATTTTTCCACACACGTGTATTTACAAATTAATATGAAATTTATTTACAGGTTTGTTTTCTGCTTGTTTTTTAGTCAACACCATATGAAGAACATATTCTAATGCCAGTATATGTTCTTCAAATTAAAATATTGCATATTCTTCCATTATTTGGCTGCTGTAACATAATTTAGTAGTTTTCTTCTTATTATTTTGATTATTTCTAGACTTTTCTTTGCGACTATTAAAAATATTGAACTTCTCATTTGTTGAATATAGTGTCTATACTGTCAGGACACTATGATTTATTTGGTATTTTTTCTCTTTTCAAGTAGATGAACAGGAATTATGTTTCTATCTTTTAAAAAAATTTATTCCTCTTTGTGTAGTATCTGCTACAGGCTGATATATTGAGGGGAATTCATGTGTTAATCAAACCGAGGGTGCTTTTGTGTATATAATGCTCCTAAATGGACAGAATGTCTGACAGCAACGTTCTCGCCTTGGGGAGGGGAGTTCTGTGGGGGATCCGTGCAAACAGGAGATGTGAAGACTCTCCCAGAGATATGAAGGTATGGATGGATCAAGGGAGGCCATTTCCTGGTCCTCGACTTTCATAGGTGCCCTTTCTGAGACTGGTTTGCTTCAAAACTGGCTTGGCGTGTCTCCTTTTCTGTCTCACCTTTTACAGTCAAAGGAAGAGCGCAGCTGTGTCCCATCTCATCCTGAATCTGACTGTGGTATGTGGTCCTGGGCAAAGAACTCTTCCTACCAACAAAGGCCTATGAAAATGTTAGTGTCTGGGTTGGTGAAGGGATGAGTATAATGACCAGGGCGCACATCTTTTTGCAGGTTAGTTTTTACTTCCTGGCTTATCAGCCAAGTTGAAGGAGGAATCAATCTGGTTAAAAGATAATAGACGAAAAGATTTTTGACAAGTCTCCTTCATTCTTTTCTTATTTATGTAAACAAAGTTCCTTACTGCTATGTCTTTGAAAGTGAAAAAAACAAGGTATGGAACTGATCTTAAACTACCTTATTATAGCAATAGAGAATACTCATCCGTAGGTGTATCAACTAATTGAGGAGAAAAATAAACAAGCCCTATCCCTTTCTTTAGAAATGCATTTCCAATAAAATTATACTTTCCATGTTAACTATATTAATATTCTTATAAGTAATTACTAATGTTTGGATCAGTTGTGTGCATTAGTAGTGACAGCTCGAACCAGAAGAAAATTGAACACTTTTAAGCCTAATGACCGCAGGAAATTTTTTAAAAATCACTTTATACACATTTTTGTTACAGAGAAATATACATAGGAGATTAATAAAAGCCTCTCAAGTGTTAAAATGTATTATATTGAGAGGAAATTCTGTGGGGGAAGTGGAATGGAAATATGAGTTCAAGGAGAAAAGGAGTACAATGCAGTCTTTTTTACCGTTAAAGGAGAGTTTGTTCATGTATTTTTTGATGAATGAAGGTGGTTTTCAAATTGGTGTGGTATTTTTTCTTTAGGTACATTTAAATGAGTGATATGTTTTAATTAAAAATTTTAATAATTCCAATATGCTAGAATTATAGCCTTTGCAATTGATTAAAATTATGAAGTTTAAATGTCAACTTAAAATGTCTGAGAAACAAAATTTTAAAAATTTCTTAGTGGCTGTATGAGCAAAAATGTTTGATGACACTGCTGTAAAGATTGTCTCTCAATCCAAAAGGCTGTTGAAGCTACAGCAAGACTTTCTGTTGTTTCGAGTCTGTGATAAAAGGGCTGCCTTCAGTCTTAGGGGCAAGAAGGTGACAATGATCCCAGAAGAGGTCCCTGGTGCACTGTTTGGGAATATTCATCAAGACAACTGGCATTTTCCAACTCTCGGTGTGTGTGTGGCCGGAAGAGTTGGAGAAAATAGTGTTAATGGGCCTGAGGACATAGGTTTGGTCTCTGATTTAGCCGTTTAGCTTTATTTTCTCTGTGGTCTCAAGATTTACCCCAGACCCAACTAGCCATCTTGTATGAGCCATAGGAGATAGTCACAAAATTGGTGGGAAGGATGCCAGACAAGGAACTGTGTATGGATTTGGGTGGGTGTCTCTACATATCTTCACCATTATTAGAAATACAATTCAGAATGTTTATCCTAGTGATGAAGAGCAGGCAATATCATCCTTGTACAAAGGAATGTGCGTTGTTGTGTTCCAGGTGTGCCGTGAGGTCTGTCAGGCATTCTTGTGCAGAGAACTGAAGCGGTGAACGAGACAGAGCAGATGGAGCTGTACACTCAGAGGTTTACGTTCTGAGGGAGGAGAGTGAGGACATACATAGCTGGAAACACTTATGTGGTAGCAAGTGTAAGTTTATTGTAGAATTTTGTACATTTAAGGAGGTTTCAGTTTGACTGATTTTTGGTGGCAGGGAGCCTTTGAAAGCCTCTTCTAGGGTATAGGAATCAGCCATAATTAGAACAAAAAAGAATTATTGAGTTGATAGTAGCCTAACTTACTTTTTCCCTCTGTTGTCGGAGGAGTGATATGATGAGGAGACATACTGTAATGGGCCCCACTTGTTGTCAGTCAGCTTTCTTTATCCTTTGATTCAGGACCCAGAGAGCGCTTCCTCCATCCAGTCCTTATGTTTAACGTGGCATCTTCCTGTTGTTTGAGCACCTGCTCAAAAGAACCTAGTCACTGTAAATATTTGCTCACAAGAAAGAATTTGGGTATGTTAATTATTTTTGCTTCAGTTATGCTTTTGTTTAGTAAATGAGAAAGAAATGAGATTCATAAACTATTTCTTATATTTTCCTGATTTTGTATTCAGATTCAGTTCCATTTCTGTTACCTAGTCACCTGAAAGTGACTATTTGCAGATTTTTTGTTGTTGCAGATTTTGAAAAGGGCTCTAGGGAAAAATTCAAATCTCAAATACTTTAGCTGTGCTGTTTTTCTTGTTTTTTCTTTTGCCATTGATTGACTGCTTTTCGTGTTAAATATATTAACATTCTGATAAGTAATTACTAATATTGTTTTCGTCAGTGTGTACATTGGTATTGATAGCTCAAGTCGGAATAAAATTGAAACCTTGAGAGACCGATAGTTGTATTATTATTTTTTTTTGCCATTGATTGTTCTCAGGACTTCCTGTACAAAATAAAGTCCAGATGTCACATGAATGATGTTAGTGACTCTAGTGATGACTCCATTCAGTCACGTGTAGGGCATTCTGGGGAGACACCTGGGATAAAACACTTGAGCTGGAATTAAGGAGTGGTCAGAGGCGTTGCCTGTCTCTGCCCAGGCCCTTTCATTGAGCAAGTGCCCACTCGTTGATACGGTGAGCAGCTTTAGCAACAGGGACAGGGATTTGTGCACAGTGCCCAGTGAGACTCCCTGTCAGGGATAGAGGAAGGCCCAGGGAGCCGCCCTTTGGGAAAGTTCCTGAATTTGTTAGTAGACTGTTGGGTGAACATCTTCCCACCTGCCTGCCCTCTGTCTTGCTTTTGTTCCTGGGGGTGAGTTATAAGATTCCTCATCTTGCTCCACGAGGAGCCTGGCCCTCCCTGTCTTTGCTTCTCTTTTCCCTCCTCTCCTTAAACTTCAGGTCTCACACACGTCTTCACAGAGTTGAACAAAAGCTCCGAATTAGTGAGGCCGTCGTGGTGTCCCTTACTCAGAAGCTCTCCATAGTTCAGGCTCTTCCTCAGGTTGGGGCTGCCATCTCCATGTCCTCCTTGTTTGACAAGCAAAAGGCAACTCAGGATGTTCCCTAATAGCGACAGATTTGGTAAAATATCTCCAACCGAGACAAGCTGCCACTGACACTCACTGATTCCATCGTTGTTACACTGGTTCTTCAACTAGGTGATAAATAAGACCTGGAAGCAACTGATAACAACTATTAGTAGTAATAACATGAAGTGTTTTCTGTTCTTTGACATCCTTCTTTTGGTGAGGAGGAGTGGCCGTGAGCTAACATCTGTTGCCAATCTTCCTCTTTTTTTTTTTCTCCCCAAAGCCCCAGAGCATAGTTGTATATCCTAGTTGTAAGTCCTTCTAGTTCTTCTCTGTGGGATGCCACCTCAGCATGACTTGATGAGTAGTTTGTAGGTCCACACTCAGGATCTGAACCCATGAACCCCAGGCCGCCGAATCGGAGTGCATGAACGTAACTGCTATGCCACCAGGCCGGCCCCTTTGACATCCTTCTGTTTACCCTCTCACCTGTGGTTTTTCCTGTGGTTTGGGAATCAAGTGATATAACCAAAATAACCTAGTCATTTAGGGGATTTTCGGGGCTGATATCTGTGTTGTGTGAGGCCTTCACAGCAGGCCTTCACTCCCTGTCAGGGAGCCCTGGGCTTAAGCCCACCTGGAAGTACCACAACTTCTGTCATGTTTAGTTCCTTGCCAGTTGG